CTTCATTTGCCCGTTATCGGTGAATTCAGGATAATAAAAGGAAATTTAGCCCAGTGGTAGCCTGTTCGAGGCGTTCAGATAGTGGAGAGCTGCGCGAAGTCAGAGAGCGACGTTTAAATTAGGAGGGAGAGGGAGAGCTCTCTCTTTTGCTCTATCTCCAGTAGCGGATCCAGGGGGAGGGTCCGGGGACTCCGAACCCCCCCCCCCCCAACCACCGCAGCTAAACTAAATTCCAGGGATACTGAAAAAATGTAATTGTTTTCTGGGTACCCTCCTATGATCTGTTCTCCTCTGCTCGCAAAGCAGTATTTCCATTGCCAATGGTGACCTGCGTTCACAGATTGAAGAAACACATGGTCGCCTCTGACTGAAAATGGTAATTTGCCACAAAAAATTCAACCAAAGTTTGGATCCTTAAAACAAAAATTCCTGGATCCGCCCTTGATTTCTTAATTATCGCCACAATTTGAACGCATGGAACAGTCTAGCCTAGCGTATATTCTAGATCTTCAAATAGCAGTTGTCGTCCGTTATATATATATTTTCGCTTTTTGCCGCTATGCTTTTCGGCTAAAGGTTGGCTATTTCTTATTGTCAAAAGGTGCGAAATTTCCCGGCATTTTCTCCAGCTCTACCAAAACAACAGAGCTCACGCAATCTCGTTACAGGGCCTCTCTGTTCCCCTCCCTTTTTCTGGCGATAGCCTGTACTATTGACGTCATTTTATCGAATATCGCAAACTTGTTTCAAGCCTGGTTATGAAGAATGAGTCAGGGGATTTGATCCATTCAGAAACGGAGAAACATTTTGAATTTATAATGAGGAGAATTATTTTTATGTCTACCACAAGTACAAACAAACAAATAAAAACAAGTCATGGTACTTCTTTCCACGGTGGGCATATAGGACGCTTAAAAGTGCATCCTTGGAACTACTTTCGTATTTTTTATTCTTTAAAGGTCAAAGCTTTCCAGGATGGTATAGCTTTGTATTCCAAAAAAATCCTATCCTGTGGATTTACTAGTCAGCGGCCCCTGTCCCCCGCGCGCTTGGTAAAAATGTTCTGTCGTTCCAGCTGCTTTTTGACCATGAATTTCCCATTAATGGGAACCTTTTCAAACGGCAAGGGATGGAGCCTCAACTATATTGAGTAACCCCCGCCCCCCCCTCCCCCCGCCCCATCCTGGGCCGCTGTTTTCGTCCCACCCGTCCTACCCCTTCACACAAAATGATGGCCACTTTTCAGTAATTTTACATGAAGAGAACTATGCCACCAAGCCTTGCTCCAATATGGCGGCAGTTGGTGGAAGGAGTTTGGTTGGGCGTCTGGCATTAGTTACAGGTAAGCTTTTGTTTTGTGATGCTAATAAGGTCTCTCTTAGGATTAATAAATGGAGAGAAAGATTTTTAAGGTCTCCTTCATCCTTTTTTCTTCACAGAGGCAATTTTTAGGGCCTGCACTCACATAGGGCTATTGCATTTTAATAACATCCATACCCTAGCCTTCTGTTGAGGCCTGCAGAATTAAATAACAATGCATTCACCCCTGAAAACTTCCATAAATTATCGGTCTACCCCTGAAGAATTTCATGTAAATGCGATTTTTTCTATAAAAGTTGCTTGAATTAATAGTTCACCAACAACATCAACAACAACATTTTTATTTCCACTGTAGACAACTAAAAGAATATACAAGAAATATAATTATTAATTTAGACATAACCAAACTTCTGGTTAAGTACATCTGTGAAACAGCACAGAAAATTCTTGTTCTGAGCCACTTGGGTACCAGAATTTGAGTATGCACCGTTATTGCGAAGGGTGTAATTTGCAGGTTGCAGGTCAGGGTTCAAAAAGGTTTATGGCTGACGTTTCGCTACCTCCCCTAAAACAGGACATTACATTGATGTTTTGGTGATTTCATACATGTAGGTGTCTTCACTGGGTCACACGCATGCGCAAAACCTGAAATATCAGATCTCAGTTCTTTAAATTGATTCCCAGACCTTTCGAGACAAGAAGGAAGGTTCTAAAATTTTTTGGAGGGGATTAGATTTCACCACCCTCTTTATCAGAATTCTAAATTCAAGTGCAGCCAGAACTCGTTATCATATTCAGGGCTGTCACTAAGACGTGGGGGCCGGGGATTTTCCCCGGCTAGTATGAACGCGGCTCCCGGCTACTTTTAAAGGAAAACGGAAGAAAAATAGAAAGAAAAGAAATCCCTAGCTGTTTGATTCCCCGCCTACTTTTTGTATTTGCCTGGCAACTAGAAATCTTAGTGACAACCCTTTTTGTTTTGTCTCGTCACTTCACAAAAAAGAAAATATGAATGGTAAAAAACTGGATGTTGAAATTTCTGGTGGTTAATGATCTACTTTCCTCATGCTGGCTATCCATGGCATGGACCCAACATGGATTTTTTTTAATGGTATGTGAACTGGCCTTGTTTGTTTCTTTTTCCTATTAAACTGATATGACACTTTATTTTTTGTATAATTGAGTTGCACAGATAAATATGTGACACCATGGCTGTATGATTTCCTAGTTAGGTATGGCAGTAGCGATAGTGATGGGGAACTGGTCTTTTCTGGGAGAAGATGCTATTTTCATAGACCTCTTATGAATCATTTCCAGTAACCAATCGTCACAGTGTCACGCGTATGTTATTGCAGATTTTGTGTCAAATTACATCACTGGCCCATCAGTGAATGTATGCATTGCTCTCTTGGGATACCTTCTTTTTGTTTTGTCTTTTTAAAAGCGTGGCACATCCAGTGTGACCTTGTGTCATTATAACCAATTCTGACCTGCAATCTGCAACCTGCAACCCTAACCTGCTGCCTGCAACCCGCAAATTACACCCTCCGCCATTATTGGCCTGCTAAAATAGCCATTGTCAGTTTGCCAATCAGATTAAAAGGAAATTTGAAACGAATTTCCGGTAATTTGTTGAATCTGTTAGAGGCCGGGAACAAGACTGTCCAGGTTTAGATTATGTCTGCAATGCAGGCTTAATGTTTTTCAAATCAAAAAATTATTAATGATGCATTTGTGTCTGAAGGTGGTGCTAGTGGAATTGGTCGGGCTGTCTGTCAAGCTTTAGCCACAGAAGGAGCCGGCATCATTGTAACAGATCTAAACAGTCAAGGGACTCAGGAAACACTAGACAGCTTATCACAACATGCCAGCTTAAAACACAAAAACTATTCTTTAGACGTGTCAAGTGGAGAGGAAATACATAAGGTGTTAGAGTATATTATAAGCGGGTATAAGAGGCCGCCGTGCATTTTAGTCAATTGTGCTGGCATCACTAGTGATGAATTCTTACTGAAAATGGATGAGGAAAAGTTTGATAAAGTCATTAAAGTCAATCTCAAGGTGAGTGGCTTTTGACCATCCATGCAAATGGCATTAAAAAAATTAACATTTACTCTTCAATCATTTTGTTAAAGACTCAGGCCTATTTGATTTCAGTCAATGTGCAGAACTGCTGGCTTATATATCTTAGATATAAGCATACTTCTTTAGCACAAGAAAGCTAATAACTAAACTGGAATGATGCAAAGAAAAGCACAAGAACAAGCAAGAAAAACATGCTGCTATGTTGGATTCATCTTTTTTTTTTCAGTTCTTTAGTGCCAACATTAATAACTACCAAAACATTTAAGTGTGTTTATGCATATGCTTGCATCATACTCTTTTTATGCTATATACAGGGCTTCTGATATTTCGCGGAAAAAAAAGCAAGATTTCGCGGGATTTTCAGGGGCAAATTCGCGGAAAAATCGGCCGATTTCGCGGGATTTTCGCGGGGAAAAAGTCAAAATTCGCGGAACAATTGGCTGATTTCGCGGGATTTTAGCGGAAATACCTGAATTTCGCGGCTCCGCGACCGCGCGAAATATCAGAAGCCCTGTATATAAACCAAGATCTCTTTTAATAACATCAGTCATTAAAATTCTGGGGATTCCTTGCTATTATATAGGTTAAAAATGGATCAGAAACAGGTGAAAAATAATGTAGATAAGAAAGAATGACGTTGCAGTGTCATCTTGACACCAGTTTCAATATTTATGGTTGACAAACTTAAAGTGATGACAAATCTAACGTCAAGCAGACTGTAAAAATAGAATAATATTTGGTTCCTGTAATATTTTTTTAAAAAACTGACTTCTCGTGTTGTTTACATGGCTGATCTGCCTCTCTTTCCAGGGGACATTTTTGATGACTCAAGCTGTTGCAAAAGTTATGGTTGATCAAGGTGTTAAAAATGGTTCTATTGTGAATTTGGCGAGTATAGTAGGCAAGGTGAGAAAAATTTATATGGTGTGCTGTGCAGTAGAACCAATTGCCTGAAAGTCAATGGGGAGTTTTAGCATCAACAAAGGTAACGGCAACAAGAACGTCAAAACAGCAAGGATTATTAAGCAAAACAACAAGTTTGCATGTGCATCGCGCTTTTTTGTACATTTCTTTGCTGTTGCTGCATGACTGCGATGGAAAATGCCTAATTTCACGTTTTATCAAGGATATAACAAGTGACGAGGAAAGTTTCTTTCTCTTTCTAAGCTTGAGTGTGGTCCCCAAGAAATCAACTCTAAGGAAAGTTTGCCTACATTAGACATTTTCAGTGAATTGGAATAAACGTGATAAAGTTTGAAAAACGCTAATTCATTTTAAAAGTGACGTTTTCACTGCCGTAGCCGTCATCATTGCTAAAACTCCCTATTTAACAGTTTCATTCAGGCTACGTTCACACAGTACCGCTTGAATTTTCAATGACAGTTGAAAAATTTGACCGGACACTTTGCTCACACAAAACCGTTCAATATTTTTGCACTGTTCACACAGAACTGTCAAACCGTAATATTTCCAAGCAAAGCCATTAATAACACAACTCATAAATCCATGTTTGCAATATGTATTTGTCACAGGATGGAAAGACAGTGACTTTACAGCTATGTGGATTAACAGCTTTTTCTAGTAAAAATTTACCGCAATCTCTCCCAATGATCAACATAATGATTCTTACAACTGCTGAAGTAGACTTCAGTTCTGTCTTATGGATATTTTCCATATGATCATTGCCATATTGCTAAGTTCAGACTGCTGGCCTTTTTTCTGCAACCATAACAAAAAAAAGCTGCATGGAGTACTAATCAACTACAATAATCCAGGTAAGTGGGCAAAATGCTGTCATGCAAGGTGACTTTTGAGCAAAATGACCACAATTCCACCATGAGTAACCCAAAACTCCAGTCCTCAACTTATCCTACAACTGCATCAATATGATCATGTCTTTGAAAACATTCTTCCTTTACAATACCAGGTTGGAAATCTTGGTCAGGTTAATTATGCTGCTTCTAAAGCTGGTGTCGAGGGACTCACTAGGTCATGTGCCAAAGAACTTGCTAAGTATGTGTCTCACAGTTCATATTGATTTTGGGTGGGTAGCAGGAAAGTTGCAGAAAGGAGAGTATTTGAATGTTTTGCTTTCTACACTGTACCAGCCTGTAGTACCCTAAGAATAATCATTTACTGGATGACAAGAGTTACATTGATTTTGGCAAGAATGGTTTTTAAGGTTGCAGTTTGGGTTCCCAGGTTCATTGGGTCTTCTAAGTATTTTCTTCTTTGGAGTGTGGATGTATTCCCCTAACTAGCCATGAAGATTAATCTAGCTTGACCAGAATGTGAATTCCACAATAAGTCAGTGGCATAAATTAATAGTTTGCTGTGAAATTCAGGGAACCATGAACACCTGAAATTCTTTCTGGACTGTTTTTGTGTTGCAAGGAAAACCCAATCAGGCATGAGAAAACTTTAGCTACAAGTAGAAACAGTAATTAGTGTGTGATTTTGTGGCCTGTTTGCATCTCCTGATCATTATTGTGATTGGTTACAGTACAATAAACGTTCCTGCAATATTTCAAGTGTTCACTGTTCTCTGGGTTGGACAGTAAGTGTAACTTAGGTGTGTTAAAGACAAAATAATACTATTTTTGTTTTCAATGAAGTTCTGTTATCAACTGATGTAATTTTAACAAATTGCTAACAGGTTACATTGCTTTTGCTTTGTGTGTGTCTCAGGTTTGGTGTTAGATGTAATGCTGTTCTACCTGGTTTCATTGAAACTCCGATGACTGAGGCTGTCCCTGAAAAAGTCATAGAAAAGGTGTGTGACCATTGGTTTAGTTTTAACATTTTCACTCCCAAAAGTGGTCATATTTAAAATTCAACAAAATTTCCAAGTTTTAATTTGTGTAATGTTGAAATATAAACTGGGGCACCCATCGAGAATATAGTTCAAAACCACTTAAACATAGGATTGTTTAATGTATTTTAGTATTTAAACGGTAGATGTTGGCATATTTTTATCCCCAACAAATTTTTCATCTGTTCGGATTTCCTAGCTGAAAGTCTAGTGATCCGAAAATTATAGGGATGAAAACTTACCTTTTCGAAAATTTGAGCCAGAAAAAAGGCTCCCGAAAATTCTAGGTGACCTTTTTAGGGTAAAAATCCGTTGAAAATGGGCAATTATACCATTTTTTAGATGTTCGAAAATCCTAGGAGAGGCAGGCAAGCAAGAAATTTTACAACAAATGTTCCGAAAATTCTAAATCTCAAATCGTGTTCCGAACAGATATTTTCCGAAAATTGACGTTGGGTGCCCCTGTATAAAGCAATAGTATCACATGAAATTACTGCCAAAGAGGTTTCTTTTGACTGGTCACACCATAGAATTTCGTCCAAAGAATCAAAAAATAGAACTACATACTAAATACATTGTAAACAGTACCATGTGAAAGTACTGCTAAAGAGGTTTCATTTGAATGGTAACACCATAGGATTTCGTTCACAAAAACAAAAAAGTTAGAACTACATACTAAATAAACAGTATCATGTGAAAGTACTGCTGAAGAGGTTTCATTTGAATGGTAACACCATAGTATTTCATCCGCAGACTCAAAAGTTAGAACTACATACTAAATAAATAGTACCATGTGAAAGTACTGCTGAAGAGGTTTCATTTGAAGGGTAACACCATAGTATTTCATCCGCAGACTCAAAAGTTAGAACTACATACTAAATAAATAGTACCATGTGAAAGTACTGCTAAAGAGGTTTCATTTGAATGGTAACACCATAGGATTTCGTTCACAAACTCAAAAGTTAGAACTACATACTAAATAAACAGTACCACGTGAAAGTACTGCCGAAGAGGTTTCATTTGAATGGTAACACCATAGGATTTGGTCCAAAGAATCAAAAGTTAGAATTACATACTAAATAAATAGTACCATTGAAAACACCGTAGGATTTCCTTCACAAACTCAAAAGTCAGAACTACATACTAAGTAAAAAGAACAATGTGAAAGTACTGCTTAAGAGGTTTCATTTGAATGGTAACACCATAGGATTTCATTCACAAACTCGAAAGTGAGAAACACCTTACAAGATTTCATTGGTCATTCTGGTTGAATCGGTTCATTCCCATGAGTTTCTAGTGACAAAAGCAGTTAACTAAAAATTTTGATTTAACAAAATGATTCCTAAATATATTCTATTTCATTTTTCTAGTTAAAGAAACAGATTCCAATGTTCAGACTTGGCCAACCATCAGGTTAGAACAGTGAACCTTTGATTAATTTGAAGAGTTTGTGATGTGTGAGTTTCTTTGTTTCCATATGTTTTACTTTACAGACCATAAAAGGCCATTCACAAATGAACTTGGTGCACTGGTATAGGATGGCTTATCATCTGTCCTTGTAGTACTGAAATGACACTTGAGCCTCTCATCTTGTTTGATAACTTTCTGTCAACGACAGTTTTAGTTACCACTAAATTCAACCCAGGGCACCTCTGTAAATTTTGATGGTACACTCAGGTCTTTGCTGCCTGTGCCACAGACGAAACTAAACTGTTGTTAAGTCCGTCTGCGAAACAGCGCCAAAATTCTTGTTCTGTGTAGGATTTGAGTACGCGTTCTTCTTGCGTTCTACCTTTTCCCTCTGTTACTTCAGAGTGAGATACAGATGATATGCTTTCATAAACGTTGACGAAACAGTTCAAAAAGGACTTAACTTCGTCTTTTTTCTATTTCTTTTGCTTTTGTTGGTGATGAATTTCTTAGACGTAGCTGATGTGGTAACCTTCCTTGCATCTGACAGAAGCAGTTATATCACGGGCGCAAGCATTGAAGTTACAGGTACGGTTTATATGTCAATAGAGATGTTGTAGTTAATTTTTTTATCTCAGGTAATTTTTAGTTTTCTTTTGTTTCAACTTCATTAGCATACATTACCATACCCAAAAACAAAAGAAAAACAAAAATTACCTGAGATAAAAAAATTAACTACAACAAAGACCTTAATTAAGAGTCGATGTTTTTCGGAGTTCCCGCAAACCGCGAAAGTCAAGAAGTCGCGCGACTAGTGCCTTGCCGTCATCTTTGCGGTTTGAGGTTCACGTTTGTATGGCTACACAACGCTGTTGATATAAGTGAAGTATCACAAGGTCTTTTGTGACCTATAACATCACAAGCCCACGTTTGAGAGGACATAGTACCTCTTACAACTCTTTGGCTTATTAATCATCGAATTCGTTTTCATCGAAACGTAATTTTGCAGGACGATTTTTTAGCTAAAATAGACTTCAACGAATGAATGAAAACTTAAGTTCCAAATATGGGCAGACGGCTAAAGTGAAACCGCTAACTGCAAACCGCGGTTTGCCGTTTGTGGTAAGATGGCCAAACCTCGATCTTGTAAGATCTCTAATAAGACAAACTAAAAACGCAAAAAGGGCCTGCATTTTGGCAATAGACCATCTCCGATTTCCAAAACGTTTCCCTTTCAAAACGAGGCTCAGTGCAAAACTTTTCTTGTGAAAATGAGTTTTATTTGCACGACAATACATATCAATGGCTCTGCACTTAGCCTCGCTTTGAAACTGAGGCTTTGGACAACTGGGAGTGGCCCTTATGCATGATTACGTCAGATGAGCAAATTTCACCACCAAGCCGCGTTTGTAAGCAAAACTCTTCGCATTTGCACTCTTTGGGCGTGAATGTTCCTTTCAACTTTCCTGCCTTTGGAATTTATTAATGCAAAACTTGGCAACTTTTCAACGTCAAAACGAGGCTTGGTGGTGAAATTTGCTCGTCTGACGTAAACATGCGTAAGGGTCATTGGCCATTTGTGAGGGTACGTTTCCGTTTTGATTTCATATTTATTTTGCCTTCTATTTCAAGGTGGACTGTTTATGTAAAGAAAAATAGAAGCTTTACTATGGGACTTCTTCCATTAAACGCCGCGCCCAGAGACAACCTTTTCGAGTTGTGCAGCAGCAACTTTGACGAAGAGGGAAACAAGGGTCCGGAGCACATCTGAACTGAAGTCTTGCTTTTTACACCAGTACACATACACTCCCCCTTTGTCTGGAAATACTTCAGTTAATTGCGCGAGAGTGAACGGGTGGTTCTTGCTAGACATAACAGACAGCCAGCCAGTTAGCCATCGTTGAACTACGTTATATTTATAAGGGATAATTTAAATAGATAAAATACGAAAAGTACATTAAATTAGCAAGAGCTGATGGGACGAAACTGTCTTCTCGCTGATCAAGTTTATTCGCTTTTTGGCTGTGGTATCACGCGTTTTTTTTTACCTCGCTTTTTTAATAGAGACTACCTATTCTGGAGTTTAATTGTTACAGCCCTATCAAGTTTATACAAAGAAAGAAAAATTTGAAGGTGGTCGTCTGAGTGGCAATAGGAAGTTTCATTTCGTAGTCGTGCTGTGACGGCAAAGAAATGTACTAAAAAGTGACTTGCACGTGCAGAGTTGTTGTTTTGCTTACTTAACCATTTTTCGATTTTGACGTTCTTGTTGCTGTTGTTGTTGCTTAACTGACCCTTCTCCAATCCACCTATCCTCGGTTCTTTCTCGCTAAAGATAAAAATAATATTTAAGTAAATAATATATGGGCTGTGGCTGGGATTGTGGAAAAACAGATTAGGTAAAGACAAGCCATTTGGAATCTCTTGGCCGAAGCAACAGGGAGTTAAAGCAACGACAACGGCGACGGCAACGGGAACGGCAAAAATGCCATAGGTTGGATTAGCAAAACAACAACTTTGCACGTGCATCACGGTTTTTTGTACATTTCTTTGCCGTCACTGCACGACTACAACGTGAAAGTGTCTAATTTCACGTTTTGTCGAGGACGGGAACACAAGACAACAACTTTCTTTTTCTTTTCATGAACTTTGATAGAGTCCTTCAGAATTCAACTTCAAAAAAATTTGCCTACATATGACAAATTAAACGAGATGGAATAAGCGCGGTAAAGTTTGAAGCTGCGCGAATTCACTTTTTAAGTGACGTTTTCGTAGCCGTCGCCGTCAAGGTTGCTTAAGTTCCCTATTACGTCTCCTCCCTCAGTGTAGTTTTCGCTTATGAAACGCACGTTGGCGAGAAAATCAACTTTGATGAACGGCTTCTTAAAATGAAAAAGGTGTTAAATCTTTGGTCAGGTCGGCGCTTATCAATCCTGGGGCGAATTGCTATTGTCAAAACATTAGCACTGTCTAAACTTGTTTATAATTGTTCTGTTCTTGATACTCCGACTGATTTTGCTAAAGAAGTTAATAAGGTCATTTTCCCTTTCATATGGACCTTTAAGCCTGATAAAATCAAAAGAAACACGCTGACAGCCCAGTCTTCAAAGGTGGCCTTAGCATGGTCAATTTCGCGGACGTAGAAAAATCTCTTAAAGCTGCCTGGGTAAATCGCTATTGTTCATCGGATGGTCATCATTGGTGTGCGCTTCTTGACTCTCATCTTGAAAAATTGGGATGCTGTTTTTTATTTCAGTGTAATTACGATTTGAAGTTTTTAGATCTAGAAGGTCTCCCCCTTTTTTATAGGAACATTTTAACTGTCTGGCAGATCCGTCTTTCCAAGGTACCGCTCAGTGTTAATGAAATCAAAGAGGAAAAACTTTGGAATGACCGCTTTATTAAGATCGGCGGAAAGACTGTTTTTTTTTTATAAAGCATGGGTTAGTAAAGGCATTTTAAGAATCAAAGATATCCTCAATGCTTACGATAACTTCCTATCTTTCCAAGACCTTAAAGATACTTTCGACGTTCGTGGTACCTTTCTTGATTACGGTGATCTTCTGGCCACGATTCCTATAAAATTGGAAAAATGCTATCTTACATGGCAGTCAGGCACACACCGACGAACCAACGGTGACACAACTAACCGTTGGAAATGTTTCAGCAAAATATGCTCGGCTAATGTTTGCTGAGAAATTTTTCTGCCCTCCATTAACTGAATCCTATTTAAGAGAACAAGCATTCACTCCTAGTGCCGTATATGAGCGTCCATTCAACATCACCATTGAAAATAAGCTAAGAACTTTTCAGTTCAAACTCATCCACAAGATTCTTCCAAACAACCAACGCCCGTTGGAAAATGAATGTTCAATCTTCTCCAAAATGCGAGCAATGTGATGCTCCTTGTGAAACTCTTAGCCATATATTTTAGGAGTGTCCTGCCGTCAAAATTTTTTGGGAAAAAGTCATAGATTGGTGGAATCGTAAAAGTTCTGAAGACGTGAATCCCAATTCAACGGAAGTTCTTTATGGATACAAACCTGAATCCCTCAGTCGGGGAAGAAATAAAGGGGGAGAAGCTCTTGTTCAAGTGCCTAATTATTACCGTTTGGTACAGGTTTTACCAATCTCGACCCCCAGAGCTCTTCACCAGAGCCTTCAGATCTTATGACTGTTAACTGTGTTGTTGGAACCTCAGGCAAAAGGTCCTCATTTCTCCTTGTGCCTAAAGAAAAGAACTAACGGAAAGTTCAGTAAAAGACGTCTCGGTTCATGCACAAATGAACCTGGTGTTCACTGGTAAAGAACTTTTTAATAATAAGTTTACTACTTTCCAAGTTTCAGTTGGTTTTTCAAACTGAGTGAAGGCAGGATGGCTTACCATCTGTCCTTTCTTGGTCACTCTGTGGAGCGACGATTGAATGGCCTGATCAGTTAAGCACAAAAAGAAAAGGGAATTGCAAGTTAGCCTACCTCTGAAGAAAGGTCCACATACTTTACATTCAGTGAAATACAAATCTCTCCAAAAGAGCAGATGGAAGTTAATTCGCTATTTTTGATTATTAAGGCCAAATTGCCAGCTAGAGTATTGCATCAAAAGAGAAAAAACTGAATATGATATTTGTTATGCATCGGGTTAAAATTTACCTTGGTTCAATTTTATTTTTCTTTTAGCAGGGAATTGTAAGGACTATGAAAATGAGTTTTTACAAATGGAAAATATAATTTGAGATTAGTGGCACTTTGCCTACTCCACGGAAATCTTCAGGTTCCGTACTGAAAACTGTTTGGTCTTTTGACTCAAACAAGCATATTCTCAACCAGCTTCCAAATGTGGCATAATAGAAGAAAAGCTTTCTTCAGAGATTGTTGTTCTCGTTCGACATCCTTTAATGACACCGCAATCGTAAGAAATTTCTATCCTAAGAAATTCTGAAGTCGTCAAACTTTCCATCTGTTGATTCTTTGTAATTGTTGTTGTTTGCTGTTGTTTACGATAAAATTATTAAATCTGTTGTTACTGTTCGTCTGTTCTGAGGTTCGGATTTTTCGCGAAAATGTAATACTCGCGGTGAAAATAAGCCAGGTAGTTCATCGGACTGTCGGGCTGTTCTTGCCTACAACGCTTTATAGAAACTTGACATTATAGCCAGGATTTTCCCCTGAAAATGACAAGTTCACAGCTTTGTATAAAACAATGAGATATCTCCCCAGAATATCAAACGCAAATATCAAACGTTACAAACAACAAAAACGAACTTTGAAAAACTGTTTTGAAAAACCACAATTATAATTCGTTTCAATCTTCTTCTTGTTTGTCTATCCATGCGTCCTTTTGTATTTGCTGCGTTTTCATACCTTATCTTAGTGTTCTGAGGCTTTATTTTATGTTTTACTCACTTTGCTGGCAGCTCTCTCTCTTTCGTGCCACAGCTCCTGTAAGCCATGAGTGTCCAATCTAGTTTTCGGTACCCTGGCAAAAAGCTCAATCTATGGTGAAGCTTCAAAGGAGGCTTTTTCTTCCATCATTCCCGCCTGGCTAAAGGGTTTTGTGCACATTGTTGAGGCCAATAATCACCTTACCTTAGCATCGTTGCACATTAATTTCTGTCACGCG